AATTTCAAATTAAAATCATGTTTATTTTTGTTTTTTTATAAAGTTTTCTTTTTTATAGAAATTACTACTATGTTTTTGTTAGATAATTTATAAGTAATTTATTTTGTTATACATACCTTAAAAACAAATATATTAAAATATCAAGCACAGCACGATTTCCTCCGAGAAATCAGGTGCACTCAATAAAATTTATTTGTTATATTGTTTATTAATTTTGTAATTTTTGCTGAATAAATTTATCTTATCTTTATCTTTTATACATGTACAATTACAGTTTTGTGTGGGTGGATTGTGGCAGTTATTATGAATTTTAATAAAATTTCTTTTAGGAATATGATTTTTATAACAACAAAAGGTTAAAAACGTTGATTTTTTTATAATTTAATTTAAGTAATTTAAAGTTAAACCAGTTATTTATTTTTATCATGCACATTTCTGCTTTCCAAAATACCTCTTCCCAGTCATTTCCCTCAACATAAATGACAGTGTCATCTGCAAATGATGTTATGGTAGCATTATTTACTTGATTAAAAATACTATTTACATATAGTGAAAAGAGTAGTGGTCCAATTACGGTTCCTTGGGAAGTTCCAGTTTTTACTTTTAACGGGTCGCTATAGCAATCTTGAATTTGAACAATTTGGACTCTATTTTTTAAATAGTCTGAAAGTAGATTTAATATAGTATCACGAAAGCCATAGTTATTTAATGTATTTACAAGTTGTACATGATTAATTGTATCGAAAGCTTTACTTATATCCAAAAAAATGGCTAAGGATGGTTTTGTATTATCAAGATTCTTATACACTTTTGTTGTTAAATTTGAAATAGCATCTTGCGTGGATAGATTAGTACGAAAACCATACCGGTTTGGGGACAAAATATTGTATTTTTTTAAAAATAGATCAATTTTTCCTTTTATTATTTTTTCAAATAACTTAGAGATGGACGATATAATAGAGATAGGTCTGTAATTGTCAGTTTTTGTTTTGTCGCCAGACTTAAATACCGGTTTTACAATTGCTGCTTTTAAACTGTCAGGAAAAATGCCCTGTTTCAATGACTCATTTATTAATTTTGTTATAGGTTTTATAATTTCAGGACAAATGTTTTTTAGAGTTTCTGCTGTAATACCGTCGTATCCTGGGCATTTATTATTTTTTAATAGGTAAATGTGTTTTTCCACAATATTTTCGGTGACTGTCTCTAATACAAAAGTCTTTAATACAATATTGTCTTTAATGATTTTACTGCAGTGAGCTTTTGAAATGGTTTCTGCCGTTCTTTCCCTATATTAATAAAAAAGTCATTAAAACAGTTGGCAATTTCTTTCTTATTATATAATGTTTTGTTGTTGTTTATTATTTTTGTGATAGATTCACTTTTGGAGTTGATTTTTCCTATTGCTTCATTGGTTACTTCCCAGACGCGTCTAGTGTTTGTGCAATTGTTAATTTTGTGTTTAAAGTAGTTGTATTTACAGTTCCTTATCAAAGAATTCAGTTTATTTCTTTGTTGCTTGTATACATCCCTTAGGTCAACATTATTTGGATTTTTTTGAATTTCTTTAAGTTAAGTTTTTATTGGGTATTAATTTAAAAATGTCATTAGTAATCCAGGGATTTTTTAACCTTTTTTTGTTTATTGTTATTGCTTTTGTAGAGTTACCAAGTTTGTTTTTTAAAACATTTACGAATTCTTTCGTTGATTCATTTACGTTGGCATAATCAAGGATATTGTCCCAAACAAGTGTTTTTAACTCTTGCTTAAGAGATGGATAGTTTGTTCTGTTAAAAGATAATTTTGTTTTTACTGTTTTTTTATTGGTATCACTATATTTAATTGTTAAAAATTGTGTAAAATGGTCAGATATGCATTCTTTAATTATGCCAGGTAAAAGATACTCGTTTAAAGTTTTTGTTTTTATGTAAATATGGTCTATACAAGATTGGCTTTGGTTATGTATTCTTGTAGGGGTGTTTATTAGCGACGTAAATCCATTTTCTGACATAATAGTTTTATATTCCTGAATACAATCCGTATTACAGTTTAGTATATTAATGTTTATGTCGCCAATAAATATTTCATTTTCCAATTTGCAATGGTCTTGCATATATAGCTACTTATAAGAAGATTAAAATAACAAATAAATAATCAAAATTTGGTGATTTGTACATACCTGTTATTGAATATGTTGCATTTACTGTACTAATTTTACATCTTAAAAAACTGAAATCATCGTATTTACAAACTGTTACCTCATTTTCTAGAACTTCCCGAACATAGATGATTACTCCATCATTTTTGTTGAGCTTACTATTGTTGTAATCCACTTTAAAGCCTTTAATTGTAAACTGTTTTTCGTTAATAATATTCCAAGTTTCACTCAGAACAATAACATCAAATAGATTCTCAAACATATTTAAATACACTTCTAAGTAATTAAAATTGGAATTAATACTTCTTATATTTGAGTGAAATATATTTAAACTACTATTGGTATTAATAAAGTTATTTATACTTTGTTTACAATCAAGAATATTGTTAAATTCCTTATTTTTAAAATCAATGAAATATGAATTATTAGAAAAAAAGTCCATAAGTAAATATTAAAAAATTATTATAATGTATCGAAGTGCAGGTCCGTACTAGTTCCTTTTTAGTTTTCCGATGTCATCTTCATTTTCAATGTATATTATATTTGCTGTTTCGTTTTTTTTCTTAGTAGGATTTTACCATTTTTGTACCACGTGAATTTAAATCCCAGTTCTTTAGCAGCCTTTTTTGTTTTGTATAGTAATGATTTGTAGTAGGGCGTAAGATTTTCATTTATATATATGGTGTTTTCTTCTTCACATATTTTTTCTTTTTAAGAAGTAAGTCGCGCTTTTGAGCTGAATAAAAACTTATAAGTAAAGGGCGAGTTGTTTGGCCATTTTGTTTTGGTTTTAAAGAAATTCTTTGAATATTTTCTATATCTGTTTGGTTGATCGTTATTTCTAGTTTTTCGGCAATATCATTCACAATATCTAAATATATTTCTCCTTCTTTTTCTGGATAACCTATAATTTCCAAATTAAGGCGCTTATCTTTTTGTTCAAGTTTATTTACTTTGTGAGATATTTTATAACATAATCTTTTTCTTGGTTTTCTTTTACTAGGGTATCGATTTGTTTTGACATTGCCAATAATATTTCATGATTTTCTTCATATTATCGTATTGTTCACTAGTAAAGTCTCTTAGTTCTTGAATATTTTGTATTTCTTGTTTAAGCTCATCTATGCCATCTAATTTTTTATTCATTTGGGTTATCAAACTTTTTAGGTCTTTTAACTCGTGTTCGTTTGGTTTAGGTTTTGTCTCTTCATTGTTAGCCTTTGCTCGTGTAGTTACTTTGGAAAGACATTGTGTACATCTTCAGAGTTTTTTCTTTGTATTTGTCCTCCTCCACTGAGCATTCAAAATGGTACTTTCCATTACATTCTCCATAACATTGTGCGAACTCATCCTTCTGAATGGGAAGCACACACTTGTTACATATTAAAGACATTTTAAAATGTTTTAGATACTGTCCTGAACAAAGACCTGCACTGTTATTTGGAGATTTACACACAAACTATATTTTAATAGTTTTTCTCCTATTAATTACATGCAATTATGATTCACAAATACACATTTTACCTCTTTATCGTTTTAATAGTCAAATTTATTGTTTTTTGTTAATTTATACCACTTATAAACCACTGATTAACAGCTTCTAAATAAACGCGTGCGTCGTGCACCGTGTCTACTCAATTGTCTCGTTTCTGTTATTATCGGTTTAAGACATAATGCCTATCCACATTCAAAGTTTTTACAACAAAATATCTTTAATATAAAAGATAATAAATAATGTACTTACCTATTTTATATTATGCAGCGGCTCCCACGCACAAGCGAACCATTGCCGTTGGAAACAGCACTAAACTAGTTTGAAAATTTCTAGACGCTTCGCAATCCCCACCACAAATAATAACCATAATAGTGAAGATTTAACTCTTTTTAGTGTTAAAATATACTCACTTACTGTTAACTTTACTATAATCCAAAACAATAATACACTAGCGAGAGAAAAACTAGGGTAATTTTAACGCAAATAGCGGTTGTAAAATACTAATTTATAGTGTAAATGTTTTACCTTTTACAAAGTCTAAATTAACACTAATGCGATTGTATTGGACATTCGAGTAAAATATATAATATTTTTAGAGTTACGTTATTATTACACTTTCAAATAATGTTGTTCAAATATGGGTTTTTGGAATTATATATATTTTTTATTTGCTTGGTGTATGCTGGGTTGCACACATTTGATGCATACATTTATTTTTTTTTTGCTAATTTGTTAAGACGGAGCTCGCAAGCTCGCACGCGGCGTCTAAAAGAAGGATTTTAATTCGGTACCGAAACTGATAGCAAACAAGTCTTACACGACTTTGTTAGTAGTCGATCATATAAAATTGTAATCGCTAAGAAGTGAAAATTACAATCGCATTCGAGTTAATAAACATTATCGTGTGAATTTCGAGTTTACAAATCTACCCTGAATCCATCGAAGCTAGCTAGCTAAGAGAAACACTGCAACAAACAAGGTAAGGACTTTTAAATTCTCGGGAAAATTATAAAATATACAGTACACCCTCTTACAAGTACATTAAGGTGAAACAACGGCCTTAACAAATGTAATATAGAGTTATGTAGAGTAATATTAAGCTATAGAGTTAAATAATTGGTGCCTTTTACACTAAATATCAACTCTAAAATACCAACTACACTAGCTAATTTACTCCATCCATATTTTTTACTGTGTATTTTTTTCTGTACTAAGGTCCAATTTTCCTAATTAGCAGATGTAGGTATAACAACTGAAGCGAATCTTGAACATTATCTTCAACAAAGCGGGCTTGTAGTGCTTCCTTTGAATGATTTTCTTAGTAGCCTCACAGCTGTAGACGAAGCCATGACCTGTAGAAGAATTCGTCGTCAATCTTCGGTAACAACACCAGAATTTTCGGATGACGAAAATGTGAGCACAATTAGAAGGAATTCAAAAATAACAACTGGAGCAGATCTTGAACATCATCTTCAAAAAATCAGGCTTGTGGTGCTTCCTTCGAATGATTTTCCTAGTAGCTTCACAGCTGTAGACGAAGCCCAAGCTCGTAGAATAATTCGTAGACAATCTTCGGTTACACCAGAATTTTCAGATGATGAATATGTGAGCACAATTAGAAGGAATTCAACAGTATTAGCGGTCCCAGAAATGCAACAAAATTTATCAGGGTTCTCATTGCTTTCTGGCGATGAATATTTTGGTTTTAATGAAGAGGATGAGGAACACTTCGGTAAACAATTCTTCCAATTAAAGTAAAAGTTTATTTATTAGTTTTCTTTTAGAATCACAAGAGGCAAATCAAGATGGTCTCGGTTGTCATTTGGTATTTCCGTCGCTTCCAGAAGACGCTGTGGTAGAAAGCATTATGGTCTCTAAAAGCAATTGCGTCAATGATTAATTAATATTTATAGGAAAAAATCCACAGTAAATAAAAAAATTAATGTAGTTTTTGGGTGAGATGGGAGTAGATGGCGGCGGCTTGACTAAAGAAGTCTTTAATATTTTTTTGGAAAATGTAAGAACCTTTATTTTAAGGGCAAAGATTGTTTTATTCCATATTTGGAATTAAACAAATTAGATAAAATTGATAAGTTTATAATAATTGGACGTGTGCTTCAAAACATGGTAGTTTAAAATTATCAAGAATTACTCTAATGCTCTTAGCTTCTCCTGATCAAGATATTGATGACGTTATGATATTGCAAGATTTACTTAGTTATGTAAATCCATATTTGAGAAAGATCCTTAAAAGAGGAAGATTTTACATCTTTAAAGCAGCAGGAATCTGATGTATTCCTGGACTTTTTCCAAGTAAATAAATTCTACGATAGTCCCAATCCTAGTCGATTGCGGTCGCAATTGTCTATTATTGGTAAATAGATCTTGATTGAGAAACCGCAAAGAATTATTCAAAAAATTCGTCAAGGTCTGCAACCAGATAAATATCCATTATTTTGGAATAATTGCAATGTTGATATCCTATTGGACATGCAAAACCCCACTGCTGAAAAAATAGTCAACTGTACTAAGTACCCAGTAGTAAGCAATGAAGAAAGTGAAGTTCTCTATTACTTTATTATGTATACATGTATATACATATACATTGTCTCACCAAAGATGATGTTGCGACTTTGGTTTTTTTAATAACGGGGTCCATGTTAATGCTGGACAGCATAAGCATAGGATTAAGTCAACGACCATCTTTCAGCACATGTATTAATACAATTGTATTACCAAAGAGTTATTCCAATTTAAAGAGTGATCTTAACAAATGTTTACAAAGTCATGAGGCCAAAGAATATACAACCTACTGAATAAATATTACAAATGTTCCCTAACACCAAAACAAAACACAAAGTACTTTTCGTCAACGATGTTGGCATTTTCAGAAGCGAAGTGCAACTAAATCTAAATGCTAAATCTACCATATTTATTTAAACTGGACTTAAAATGTAAAATGAAATTTGAAAAACAAAGTTATTTATAAACTAGCATAAAGACTAAATAAAAATTACAAAATAAAAATTCCTTGTTTAATAAAATTTTTGTTAAAAATAATAAATAATGGTACTTCTCTCTTGAAGAATTTTCATATTTTCCTAATTTATTAACACCCTGTACATCTGATCTAATTTTTTTATCGTGAATTCATTTTCTCAGCAAGTAGACTTTTGGTCGTAAAATAAATAATAAAGAAATTATATTTAGTACTTAAAAAGTTATTCAAGGAAAACCAATTTCCAGCGGGGTCCTTTCGGGGCCCATGTCTCCGTAAGGAGGGCCAGTAGGAATTTTTTTTATAGGAACGTGTCATCTTATTTTTTCATGTTCTATCTGAATCCGAGATATTTCCCACATTTTCCCGAATACCCTATTTACATAATAATAATAAATGTTCATATTAACTAAAATAACTGATCATTCTGATTTACCTGTATTGTTGCTATGCAACAGAAAATAAAGTTATTTTTGTAAACATCATCTTTATGTTAAATAAAAATTACCTGAACGACTACGGTCATGGCCTTTTAGCTCCTATAGTTCAATAAAGCAATAATTTTATTATAAATCACCTGTATTTATTTTTATAAATGTATAAATATTTCTTTAAATTATTTGATATTAAATATAAAATTTTTAAGTAACTTAAAAAAACAAAATTTGGATTACAACTAATTAACTAAAAACTAGTTTTTAATGTTCTTGTTTTCTGGTAAAATTATAAATGCAATCACTGAATAGTGTAATTTCTTTTTAATCCTTTGATAGCATATTTTTACTTCTAAATATTCCTGTAAAATTTATTTTTGCCCACAAAACATAACACAATAATGTACAATCAGTCTCTTGCAAATTTAATTTACTAATTATATTTTTTTACAATAACTATATAGGTATATTACAATATTTTTATTGTAAATTAAATACATTAAGACACATAATATACCAATTAGGAGTTTCTGTGGAATTAAGAATGTTATTCAGTAAATTCCTTTGTTCTTCAGTTATTTCTAGTGATGCAGTAAAAGATGAAACTGGATTAGCTAGATCGTTATTGACGGTATGGACACTGTATCAATTCCTAAGGCTTGACGTGATACAAGAACTCTTTGATGGAGAGTTGTGTCAATATCAAAAATATCCTGAATTGCAGATGAAGCCCCATAGTAATTGGTCAATATACCCTCCAACCACAATTGCCTTGGTGTTTTATTCTGTTCTGTTCTCAAACATTTTTGTATACAAACTGTACACAAAACTTATGGGTATTATTTTCAATATCCAGGAAACCTTCATTTTCAAGAAAATGCAACTCCTGATATATAGCATCACAAACTTCTTTATATACACCCACCCATAACCGCTCTATGCGTTGGTTGTGAACCGATTTGCTTCTTATGTGGCTTTCCCTCTCTAAACCCCTTATTGTGTTCATTAACGTAGCCACTAGTATGTTTTCATAGCCGTGATCTGATCTTACCCGAGAGGGAAGACCATACTTAGCCATGGCTTCCGCAAAATAATTTAAAACAGGTTCAGCCTGAATGGAAGTACCACATTTTAAATATACTACATCCTTAAATATCCATCAATAGATCCACGGATTACAAAGCCCCACCTGAAAGAACAATGTGATAAGATTATTTTGGTCAAAAACCGATTTCTATGGCAGGCCGTTTTAACATTTATTAAAGAACTAAAAATTTTCGGTTTAAAATATTTTAAACTATCATGTATTGAAAGACCAAATTATTTATTTATAAAAATAATTTCTCAAGTATAATTTATTTGGGAAAAATTTTGTAAATCTGAAATAAATATTTTATAAAATTATTGAGATTAAATTGGTAAAGTAAATTTTGTTTAGTATTTAAAAATAGTGTCATTGGTTGAACCAAAATTACACATTTCATTAAGTAATGAATTATAGTACTATAATAATTTTTATAAATATATTTACCTAGACAATTTTAAATGGGCATTCATGTGCCATAAAGCATTTGCACTGCTCACTTTATAAGTTCTTCTTTTGATGGATCGGCTCCATCTGCTTGCAGTACCAATAATAATAATAATCTTTATTCCAGAGTTTCGTATTTACAATAAATCATAAATTCTCAAAAATGAAATGACGTCACATATATATCGCATTACGGCTTGGTTTCTAAACAATCATGTATGCAATATGGCTTAAAATCAACTAAAAAGAGTTTTATTTTCACTTTAAATAGGATCACTGGAGGATAATGCTTCCCTAACTTTATGTCTCTGTACCGTTAAGTTCTTTGCTTTTAAGTATGATTCCATCATCTGTAAATATGTTTAGAAGATATAACATATAGCATCACATTTCATAATTTTAGGATACCTTTTACCTTAAAACCGGCATTAGGATGATCCTCATGTATATCAGAAACTATAGACTTTAGTTCTTTAGGAGATATTTGCGAATATATAGCACGCATTGGAAAAACCAATTCATATAATTTTTTATAAATTACGCTTTTTGAGCATGTTAGCGTTCTAGCAATACTTGTGGCTGTAAATCCTTCATTATACAGCAATTTTAACTGTTAATTAACTCGTTAATTTGTATTGATGGACGCCCTCTCCCTATTTTTAAAACATTTATATTTGTACTTATTTATTAATATTTAATATTCAAAAACTTCACAATTTTTTGATTACTCACCACCTGAGCGGATTCTGGGGATTCTATAACTTTGTATATTAATAGATCTTCTTGGAATTTCCAGTAATTCATCTATTGTATTTTGAAGCTGAGTATTTCACCATGTAATCTTTGTAGGTTTATTTTTGCAGTTGATTCAATGATATATTTTGTGAACTTCGATAAGATCTTACCACTTCAGAAATAATTTGTCTTATTCTTTTAAGGGTTCTGGTTGTATTGGTTGCTCCTACCAAGTTTTGTATCATTCCCTTCTTCTATTTCTCATTTTATGATGAGAATGAATAACATAAATAACCGTAGTTTGTTTAAAGGTGGTAGACAATGTGGTGTTTTGATTAGAAACATATTTTTGGACTTTTTTCGTTTTTTATCCTTTTTTGACATATAGGGGAGAGGCTTGTACCTTGAACCGGCTTGTACCTTAGTCCGGGGCTGTAATTTTAAAATTAGCGCGTAAAAAGTCTTTATGTTGGTATGAGTAGTCACTAATGCACCACCAGGGCGCTGTGTCCTCCACTCGACGTCATTGTTCAGAGCAATTGTGGTGAACGAGGGTGCCCTGCAAGATAGCTGCAAAAAGTAAGTAAAAACCATTTTGCTGTTTTGTTTTTGTACGACAAATCGTTTGCTTCGCCGATAATTGGGTGGAGTACTTATTTATAGTTGTCATGCAGCCACCCGCTAATGCCGGTTGCACTAATGTGAAGTTTCAAAAACTAGGTTAGAATTAATTTTTTCCTTCCTGAATGACAGGCTTGTACCTTGAACCAGTTGTGAGTCTTGTTCCTTGGACCGGTCGAAGGTACAAGACTACTATGGCCCAAGGTACAAGACTACTATGGCACAAGGTACAAGGCTGGTTTGTCTTTCACAGATGCCGCGGAGTAACACAGGAGTAGTAAAAAGTAGCACCAGAGGAGTAAAAAGAGCAGCACCAGATACTAAAGCATTGGAACAAGCAGCACATGCAGTGAATCAGAGGGCTACTTCTATCAGAACGGCGGCTAAGCAATACCATGTATCTAGGACAACCTTGAAGAGATACATTGAAATGAATGATAATTATTTGTCGTACAAAAATTGCGCTACCCATAAAATATTTAGCGACAATGAAGAAGAAGATCTTGCGAACTACTTGATAACGGCTTCTCAGATGCATTATGGTCTGTCACGTCGTGGTCTGAAAACCTTGGCATATCAGT